TTTTTTCTTGGTCCACCCTGTGCATCACTGCTAGTCCCATACAAATCCTTTGTTCATTGTAGCATGGTACGTTTTACTATTCTTCTTCATACACTTGTCACCAGAATAATTACTCACCTTGAAACACTACTAAGGAATCCTCAAGTGCCAGACTTCGTTTTCCTCTCGATCCCCACGCGGATATCAGCTATAGGCAAAATAACTGAACCCGAAAATCCGTTGCCCACGACGACGATGAACGCCAACGGAACGGAGAGGCATAAGATGTCGGAAAGAAATCTTCAGACACGTCTATACTGTATAACGAGTAACGTTCGAACGCGCACGCGAACGTCCCCCAACACACACGCACACACGCCACGAGGGAGTGATGGAGCCGCGCGTCTCGCCGGTCGGCCGTCTGGTCAACTACTGACGAAGGACTAGCTTCGAAACGCGGACCAACGACAACGGAGCCCGCGGTTGGTTCTTTTCTGGATCGCTGATGCTCATTCTCATATTTGAAATGCTGTAGCTAGAAGAAGATGAAAGAACACGTACAAAGGGACGAGGGTACTTAGTTGATGATTTTTCCTTGTTGTTGGTGTCTTCGATGCATAATCGAAATCTGAAACACACGGCGATTCTAAAGCTATCGTGTATAAACCGCGTAAACACTATACAGTCTCTCATCGTCAATCGCTCTTACGGCAGCCTTAGCGACATCTGGACTTTGAGAGAGACACTGCTGACGAAGCCCCCAGCAGCTTCGTAACGCCGACGACCACCACTATACAACCACCTGAAGTGACGATGGTTCTAGAACAAAGGCAGGTAATTGATATGATGATCTTTTAGAGTTCTTGTGTTATTTTACACTGCTGGTCACTGTTATATATCATATTATTGAAATACGAATGTGTCGTCGTCGGCTATATCTCTCGTCCTAAGAAGCAGCGACATCTAGAGTATGCAAGTGGGACAAGGGTCGAGCGTAGCGTAACTGGAGCTGGCAGAGGGGGGTGAAAACTGTCTGCCTTATGCAGTGATGTCACCTGGATTTTGGAGTGGGACGAGTGTTGTCACCTGGATTTCGGTGCACTTTTAAGGGAGGGATCATGCGACCGCTGCAGAATTCTGTATATTATGAATATATTTTTGTTTGTAAGGTTCAGTAAACTTTTGTTTTTGCCAGTAATGTGATGATGGAGGTTGAGTTATCACGCTGGAATGGATCACACGCTCCAGTCGCCAATACCTAAATATTGTTTGAAGGTGTAGTAAAGTTCGATTTTCCTCATTTGAATTTACAAAGGCACAAACTAGTTGACCAGAAAAACTAATCGATCATGCATACACTTGAAAAAAACGTAACTCAATCACTGAAACCATTCCGCACAAATAAATCTTCAGTTGGTTTTTTATTCACTAATATAATATTTTTTTGAAAAAATGTAAGTGATTGAATGAAGTACAGTATTGTGCAGTATTCACCTTCCCACAAGCTAAGATAATTTTTTGTATTCCTTTACAAATATTTGAAAAAGTAAAGGCACACTGTGTAATACTGTAATGTCCATCAGTTTATGCGTATACTTAGAGTTTGTAAGAATTATGCTGTGAGTTTATGTCTCTGATTGGAGCAAAATTCTGACTTCAAAATGCATGTGCTCATCTTATTCTATTGAAAAGATAAAATGAGTGAGCCTTAAAAATCACTTCTTCATCTTATACCACCATTACATCAGAAGTTCAATTGGTTTGTGAAGGTGCTGGAGGCACAAATTTTAATTCACTCAGGGAGAAGCATTTCCATAGTTCTTATTTTTCACACACATATATGAAATTTTTTGTCTAATTCAATTTTGACTTGAATTTGGTTCACAGAGGAGCAGGAACATGACAACAGGTGTTCAAACAATACTTGGTTGGAGGAAACTTGAAATATGTATTAAAATTTCTGAACTTCATTGAATTGAAAAATGAGAAAACATTATTATTCACTGGTTGCTTTATACATTCATACAATTTTCCTGGAGCTTTTGGTATTAAAACATTTCCATAATTTGAATTCAGGAGTATAATATCAGTTTTCATTTTTTATATTTTTCCTTTTTTAAATAATCGTTTTATTTAAAACGATTATTGAAAATAAGTGGATCATTGAATTTCAATTGATGGAACCATTTGATATGGTCGTATTATAAAGAAGTGTTTTCATATTCAAGATGCAGGTACGTAAAAATTGAATAAAAATTGTATTTTGTGAATAATTGTGAGAAATCCTGGGTTAACACTTGATGGGACACAAAGGAATGACCTTTTCGGGGTTCATTCAAAAAAGCACCAGCGCAGGAAAAATAATGAAACCCGGACGTGTTCACTGAACCTCCAGGAATTAAACTCGTCACCATACCAATATCTAATGAAACCGCGGAATGAAAAAGATGATCGACCCGCCATCAGCACAAAAATATTCCAAGCACTCACTTCCTTCTATTTTTTTTATTATTCTCTGAAAAATACGTTTTCAATAAGGAAGCAAAAATTATAATTATGTATCCAGATATTTTAAATATTTTTCGAGGCAGAGAAAACGCTTCAGTTGGCGGAATTCGAAACACGCGAGACCCGAAACAGTAATAATAAGAAGTTGCCAGCATCAGAGTCCGGAAATGCGTTTGGCGTCGATCGGCCGCCGATCGTCAGTCGACTGCTGCTGTCGATGACGACGAACGAACGAACGAGCTTCCGACTTCCTCGACGACAGGGGACACGGCTCGTCGTCGTCGTCGTCGTGTGTGTTTGCTGACGACGTTTTTGGGTAACTATACGGGATTATAATGGGAGGCTCTCCCCCGAGGGCAAGGTCGCGGTAATTGGAACATTTCCTCCCGCCTCCGCTGGTTGACATTGACGCAGGGATTGTTATATAAATGCAAGTATATACACACGTGTGTATATTCTGAACAACCCCTCTTCTCATTTCTTTTTTTGTCATTATATTTCCATAGTATTTTTCTTCATTTTATTCATGGATAATGACCACCAGCAGTGACGATTATTTCTTTTCCGGGGTTCCCGTTTTCCGTGAGGTTTTCACACCCATCGCTTTTTTTCTGATGCGATTATTATTATTTTCTTAGAACCCACATTTCGAGGATAGATTAATCAAATGATCACAGGGTCATCCTCGACGATCGAATGGGTGTTTGAGGGTGACTGTAAAGCGTGGAAAGTCATTTATTCAGATGATTTTGATTACTGATGAATGACGCATTTTATGATTTAAAAAAAGGAGGAACACAAACTTTTATTTAAGGATTTTCAAAGAACATTAAAAAAATTTTGAAATTGAAGATTAGATTTTTAGACACGAGGTGTTCAGGGAAAACATCTAATAGCTAATTAATCTTCAGACAATATTGAAGAACTTTGACAAGAGCAAATTTGAAAACAATAAGGAAAAATAAATAAAACTTAAATTCCATGAATCTTGATGCAGTACTAATCAATATTACTTACAGCTGGGAATTTTGTGGGAGAAATGTTAAAAGCATTCGCTGTTTTTATAATACAGTAAAATAATTGTAATGTTTCTTGGATAAGCAAGCTTCAAGGATAAATCAATCAACTGCTCAGGGTCATCCTCATTAACAATCAAATGGGCGTTTGGATTCCAGCAAGGCATCAAGAAGATATCTATTTTGCATGAAAACTTATCCAAAGCAACTTATCCATGAATCTTGCCACAAATTGAAAAATTTCAGACAAGTTCCTTATTGGATAAGTTTTGGGTAAAAATTGGATATTTTCTCAATTTTTATCAAAAAGTCAGCCATCAGAAAACTCCTTATTGTAAATGACTTTTGGATCCAAAATAGACAAGTTTTGGAGGAATCTGGGGCCTTTGGATAAAAATTGGACATGTTACTCAATTTTTCTTCAAAAGATGTCCTTTAGTTCCCATAAGAGTTTCACTTTTTAATATTCATCAGTTTTTCCATGGAAGTTTTTCAGCCTATACCAAGACATTTCTGTTTTCAGGAGTTAATCCATTCAAAGTACTGCTCTCCAATTTACTTAATTAACTTATAGGGTTTATTGAGAATCATCATTCATGGCACCTAGGTATATATTTAGCATATTTATTCAACTATTCAAATGTTACAACAATTTCAACTTAGAGAACTCTCATAATTATTCCTGTGTATTTTATAAGAACACTTTTACAATCAGGAAATCATTTTCCTAACCTGGGATTCTACCCACAAGCTCCTCATTAGGCATCCAACCCGTTAGTCAGACAGCTATACAGCCCACTTTTCTTGCATCACTGGATTGTAAATGTATATTTATACCAGCAGCTTTGGTGGACAAGTTCAAAGAAATGGTCTGCTAGAGCAGTGTACCCAAACCTTATTGAGCCCTTTTTAAAAAAAAATTTGAGGACTAGCAAATTTCTTAAAAAAGTGTCTGCAGAGTGCAGACTGGCAAAGTTTTTTAAAATTTTTGAAGAAACTTGTCCACCAGCTCTCCCAACATAGCGGACAAGTTCTCCAAACTTGTCCACCAGACCCACATTTTTCTGGTCAATATCTTCCATGATGTCTTTGGAAGTCCTGCAATTGGGAAAAATCTGAAAGTGGAATTGGTAACAGTTTGATTCCATATAAAATACTGTATAGTACTTTTATGATTTTGTTTGATATTATGATATTACCATTATATTATGATATTGTCATGATATCAATTTTTATTACTGTATCTCCTTTTGTTGAATAAAGGAGATGCTACATAAAATACTAACTTTCGCAACAAATATCTATACACACATGCTTCTGTACAAAACAAAATCAAACTTGTTGCATTTGATGGGAGCATTCAAGAAAAAATCCTGATCACTTCACAATAAAATTCCAGGAAAAAACGGTCTGAATAAAAATTACATTCGAATTTCGAAAATTTCCGTCATCTCGTACAACCAAGGGAATTCGCAAAAAGGGGAATAAAACGAAACATTTCCACTTCGCATTTATAAAAAAGCCAAGACTCACGCATGAAAGCTTTCAGATTTCCATGAAAACAAAAAATTCGTTGGTGCAAAAAAACAACAACAAAAAAAGCATCAACCACAGCAAACAGTTTATCACAACTGATGTTTCAATAACAACCTTTTCAAAAAAGACTCTGGTGCGCATCAAAAATTTTGGAAAGCCCCTTCGTACTCTCATCATAAATCAACAACAGAAAGCCGCCACGGAAATTAATTTCAAAAAAATGTTCAAGAAATTAAAAGACAAAAGTGATTTTTTGAAGATGACGAGGATGAGAAAAAAAGGAATGGAAAAAATCTCAGTCAGGAACCCGTTTTGTAAACAGCGGCAACAAAGTGCTGAGCCTCCGTTTCGTCCTCCTTTTGTTGGTGATGAAGCAGTACAAGAGGATCAGGATCCCCACGGATCCCACGTGCATCATCGTGGTGACAGTGTAATCCGCAGAGGAAGAGGATCCCTTGCCCTGTCGAGGTTTCGTGTCGTCTGTGTCAATAATATCTTCTTTTGGCCAGGCTGGATGCAATTTGGACTCCGCACGTTTGGCAGTTTCTTTAATGTGGGATTGTTTTGGGGCAGGAATTTGTGCCTGTTTCTGCCGGATGATGGCGCTGGTGTCGTATCGGTTTTGTAGGAATTCCAAAACTTGTTCTAGGATCCATTCAGAGTTGGACTTGTCGTAGCAATTTGGGCAGTGTTGAGGTGCTGGGAACTGAACCTTGGGGTGTTGAGGGTCTTCTGATGCATCCCTTGCCAATCTTTTGTTCACCTTTGATTAAAGGAAACATATATTTTACAATATTATGATCATTTTGAAATAGAGTTGAAATTCCAGAGTAAAGTTGAGATTTCAGAATAAAGTTGAAATTTCAGAAAAAATTTGAGATTTCATCTCAAAGTTGAAATATCAGAATAAATTTGATATTTCAGAACAAAGTTTATATTTCAGAACAAACTTGAGATTTCAGAGTGAAGTTGAGATTTCAGAATAGAGGTGAGATTTCAGAATAAAGTTGAAATTTCAGCAATAATTTGAGATTTTATCTTGAAGTTGAAATATCAAAATAAAGTGGAGATTTCAGAATAAAGTTGATATTTCGGAATAAAGTTGAGATTGCAGAATAAAGTTGAGATTGCAGAATAAAGTTTATATTCCAGAATAAAATTGAGATTTCAAAATAAACTTGAGATGTCAGAATGAAGAAGATTCCATGATAAAGTTGATATTCCAGAATAAATTTAGATTTCAGAATAATGGAGATGCAATATGAAATACAGTTGGCATTTCAGAGTACAGTGAAATTGTAGAAAACAGTTGAGATTTCAGAGTACAACTGAGATATACAGTATTTCAGAGTACAGGTGATATCTCAGAATGAAGTTAAATATAAGAATACCTTCAAGTTAGAGAGTTTCTGAGTTAATAGGTAATTTCTGCAGATTCATCAATGAATAGGACTTAGTGGCCACTTTACTGGAACCTCTAATGCATGGATTTTTCATGTAATCCCTGATGTCTCATCCATCTGGGAAACCATAGAGACAGTGACTAGTGTGTCCATATATTTCCTAGGTTCTCTGGAATATTTTGTAATCTTGTAAATGAAGCTAAGCTTAACCTCATGAATGCATTTGGAAATAGAATTGACTAAAAGAGGTTAGAGATTAAAACATGGAAGTGCTTGAGTGTGTAAAATATAAATGTCTTGAGAGTTGAGAGAACTGACCAGAGACCAACTACAAATTTAAATTAAAGAGCATCAGATTTGGAAAGGGTTGACTCCTCAGCAAATAAGTCTGAATATATTCGATGCTTCACTTCTTGAAATCATCTAATCAAGTGCCAAGTAAGAACTCAATCTAAAATTCACCTAATGTCATGTGACAGAATTAAAAAAAGCATAGAAGGCTCACGGAAGTGAGCTTTTCTCGAATGAACAAAAAGAAAACTGCAAGCTGCCTTACCTTGTTGTGGTTCCTCCAAAGCCACAAAACCATTTCAGCTAGATCCTTGAACTCCTCCCAAGTATCAGTAGCCATTTCCACAAAATGTCTTGCACAGTATCTGCAGCTGAAAAAGTTCTTGATGAAGCCAAAAATGCCTTGAGGCACTTCTTTGAACCTTGCTTGGTCATTCTGTCTGAAAGCTTCCATTGAAAGAACGTGGAACAGTGTCCATAGGCCGCATGGAAAGCCTCTGAATCTGTTAATAATGATTTTCAAGTATAGGCATTCAGTTCAAGTGTTTAGTAATAATAGCCCACAGGTGGGCCTTCCACAGTAAAAAAGAGAGGTCAAGTTCCCCACAAATGCAACCAAGTAGCATTCATGTGAAAATTTTGTTGGAACCGTTTTTTTGAAAGTATTGTACTGTAATAGCTGGAAAATGAGTAGAGAGGTGTTTTTGATCTTCAAAGAAAGGGCACATTTACTCATATATTCTCTCCTGTCTCGTTTTATAAGCATTCTAATTAAAATTTTTTAATTTTCAATTTCCTTGGCACCCAAAATAAACAACAAATGCTGTAAGAAATTTGAATCACCGGTATGCCAATTTGAGGATGAAAGCGTTCAAGTTTTTGGATATGTAGCCTTCAGGCATAGTGCCAGGTTTTATCTGCAAAACTTTGTGCCACAATAAGGAGTAAAAAAAGCTAGAAAACAAGAATGATTAGAAGAGCCAAAGTTGAGAAAAATCAAAAAGGTTGTAGCATTCCTGTCAAACAATTTTCATCCAAAACAAAAAAGTTACTGCTGTGTGACATTTTCTTGTGTTCCTACAGCAAGATTGGCTTTCCATTTCTCAGGGTTTTCCCAACTTTGGCCACTCTGCCAAATTCAGCTGCAATTTTGATGACCTTTGATCAAACCAAAATGCACTAGCATGCAAAAAATCCCAGCACTGTTGCACAATGGAAAATAACCAGCCACTGCCCATGTTTACTTTCATTGCTGCTCTCAAGACAAATCAGGCAACAATTGGAAGAAATAAGTCTGAAAAAAAGGATTTTGACTTGGAAAGTTATTTCAAGTTAGGAAAGAACAATTGCAAAAAATATATCTAGATTCAATTCTCAACTGGAAGTCACCCTTCCCAATTAAAATGTTAACTGTTGACAAAATCCTTCATCATAAATTACAAAAATGCCCTCACAATCAAAAATGGTTGGAAGTCTACTCAAAAAGTGTTCTTTCTCCCTCAAATTTAGATTTGATACCATAAAAATTATATGTTAGAACCATTCAAGTACTGTAGTTGTTTTCCTCTTCCAATTGACTAAATTTTTGAAATTTTTTGAAGTTACATGCATATACTATATGCACCTCAATATTACTTTCAACACAATTCAATTTGTTTGACATCAGCAATTAAACTAATAAATTTGCAGCTAAATCTGCATGTAAATATTTCTTTTTGTTAATATGATTCACAGAAAGGGAAACTTTTTGGGACTTACTTGTCACTGCTCCCTTTGCAAGTGATGTAGTTCTTGGATTTTGGAATCAAACCTCTACCATCCATACCATCCAAAGGATCCAAAAACTGCTTGAATTCATCACCAGTGAAACTTATGTGCTCATTGACGTACTTTTCAACTTCTTGAAGCCCTTTGAGAACAAGGTCTTCACCAGGGAAGTAAACAAGAAGCATTTGAAGAAATTTAATCAGTGCTTGTCTTGGTTGACCATTGACTTCCCTCTTGAGGACAACTTCATGCCTGAGGGCATAACCTATTGCACTTTCCAGATCTTCCATATGCACTGGGATGAGGGGAGGGTACTCAGCTCTTTTCACAGTATTTGGTCTCAAGCTATGGGATTCATCAGCTCTTGGCACACCTGAGTTGTACTCAAAAGATTCCAACACCTGAAAAAAAGATTTAGGTCTGAATTGTAAGTGGTGTGAAATTTATCTTTGTCATGAAAATTACCTTTTCTTTTCCTAGAAGATGCTCAAAAGCAAGGTGAACTTGCTCTTTGAGCAAGATCTTGTTCTCATGTTTCTCAGCAATGTTACCATTCTTGTCCAGGAAAATAACTGCTGGCACTGACTGTATCTTCAGTTGATTTCTGAATGGATGATTTGGACTTATTCTGAAAGCTTTCACACCCTTGTAGAGGGCTGATTCTAGAAGCAATGGTCTTGTGTCAATGTCTCCTTCACTTAACTTGTCAGAGCCTTCAATGACTATCATCCTTGCAAGGTCCCCTGGTTGTGTTGGTGGGAGGTCTTCATCTCTGAAAAAAAGCGAAATGCAAATAAGCTATGTACCAATTTCAGTTTTTCCAAAATTGAAAAGAAAATCAATTATATCAACATTAAATGGATGCATCAACAAACTTGGGAAAATTTCACCTCTTGATGAGTCAACATTTTATTGTGCTGCCCTGAGATGGAAAGCATGGCAAGATTTAGGGTTTCTTTCAAAATTTGGTTGTTGTGGCTCAAGGAAGTGGTTAAGATCATGGTGAAACACCAAAGCAAATTTTCATCATTTGGTGTGCAAAGGAAAAACCAGTTCAAGTTGCATCCTTTGCTGGATTGGGACAGCTTTAATTTAATAAAGGGGGTGCCCTGCAATTTTACCATAATCTGTTGCTGGACTAGGGTCAAATTGTGAATTAGTCAAGTTGCAAAGCAATGTCAAATGCAATGTTTTCTACATAAATCAGATTTGAAAATGTTGTGCTTCTGGGTTCAAATTATGGGGCATTAGTCAAATTGTGAGTCAACATCCCCACAAATTTCACCATCAAATTGCAGGACAGAAAATTTGCAGGGTGTGGTCAAATTGTGAAGTATCACTTGTACTTCCATTTTGGACAGATTGCATGAGAAGAAAAATGTACTGTAGTAGTTCAAGGACCCATACAAAGAAACAGGGGTTCATAAAGAAGCAGCATAGACTGGGTACCATGGAGGACAGGTACCACAAAGTGAATAAGAAATTGACAAGTGCTGTAGAGAAGTTAGCAAAAAATCCTTGCTGGTATAATTGAACAGTTCAGAACTCCAGCTTTCAATCTCTTATTCATTCCTCAGTTTGAACTGCAGTATGGATTTTACATATGAGTTCATGTAACACAGCTGAATGAATAAACAGGTTAACTTACAAGTTAAAAGTAAAAGTCCTAATGTACTTTTAAAGGCGCTGAGCCATTTAAAACCTCTTTACCAATCCTCTATCAAGCGTTGTCTCCAAACAATGGGTTCAAAACAGAAAGAGAGTGAAGCTTAAACATAATGTCTTGATTTTTAACCTTTTTTAGAGATCAAATCTTAATTCCTAACTGATCCACAACTTAAAAAAAGTTTTGTAAATTTACCTCAACAGCCGCAAGTGAGGATAATGGTCCATATTGTATTTGTCTTTAACTTCTTCTGCAAAGTCAGTCAAGCGACTGATGAGACTTTCCACTGTTTCCCTGACCACAGCTTCTATTTGTTCTCCTTCAAAATCCTTTGAAGTGACACCTGGTGGGAAGAGGCGAACCGTTGGATACCCCACTGGAACATATCGTCTACAGATGTCCACATTGGCGTCATCTGCACAATCCAAAGCACCAAGGCGAAGTGCTCCTCTCCAACCTTCAGGAAACAAATAGAAAAATGATATCACACATTGAATATAACCTCATCATGACATACTAAACAAATATTGAAAAACATCACATGTTCCCTTTTCGCCTGAAAATGGCATTTTGTCCAAGAATTTGATTTTTTCCCGAAATCAACTCTCAGCTGTATGCCTTCCCAACTTGAACTCAGTTACACCATTACCACTAGCATAAGCATCCCAACCAGTCAAAGAACACAAAAAATGTTGAGAACCGCAATCAGAAATGTAGCCAGATGACAATTCTCAATTGATTGTAAATTTTCTGAAATATCTTGAAGAAACAATTTAATTATGCCAAGAATTTCTTGAAGAAAATATTCTAGATTTCTCCATACTGATAATAAACGGATCTGCGAGGAAGAAATAGGTTGCTGACCATCACTAGAATTATTACTGCAATTAAAATTTGAATGACAATGAAAATATTCAGTAAAAATTGAAACCAAAGTAGAAAATTTCCAGAAGCATTTATGCTAAAATGAATTTTGAAATTACCAAAAAGAGTTGGACCTTGTTAACTTGAATCTTGATATGCCAAATTTCTTTGCATGTTGAAACTTGCTTTAGTCACTTGTATGGAATCCCTAAAGAATAATCTGTTATAATATGGATGCAAGTACTGTATATGTCCTATACTAACTCACAGACATCCACTTCACAAATTGAGAACTCATTTTTTCTGTTCTTTGAGCTATTAATTATTCTGTAGATTCAGGAAGTACAGAAATTTAATTTGATGATTTTTGAAAGGAAGTGAGTGACTATAGTTGGACAACTACAGTATTCCCTTGCCTAGAAGTTCAGCCTTCTGTCAACTCATGTATCCAGCATTTAAAAGTCCTGAATATCATCAATTTTACCTTCCTATAACTATTTTTTAGTTAAAAAGAAACATTGCTGAAAATTCAAATAACTTCCTTAGTTTCATAGAGTAATACAAGACTATGAGCATTTTCAAAGAACTCTGAAAGTTCTCATGACCCAAATTGGGCGCTTGAATGATTTCTTGTGAGAACTATGATAAAATGGAACTATTCTTCAATGTCATGAATTTTTTCTAGATATCTTCATGAAACAAAGAAATCTGAAACTTCTAATGAACAAAATGTGCACTTGAATGAGTTTCTCATTCAGCTATAAAAACGGTTTTGAAACATTTTCTTGAATGTCATTTTCAACAAGTTCCACTGGAAAACAATGACACCTTCCAAAAAATTGATGGAAATACTTTGAAATGTTTTTTGAATGAAAATGCATGAGACCACAATATGCAGACACCCCAGATATTGACAATTTGACTTTTGGAAAATGGAAAACAAAAAAAGCAGGCCCTACATCCAGAAATGGGCTGGAGTTAGGGACACTTCTGTGAAATGTTTTCGAAAAATTGAAACATCTCTCTCAATTTTGATGTATGTGGCGGAAATTACCAGAGCAATTCCTTTGGCAATTTCAGGGAAGCAAATTTTATTAGCAGAAACTTTTGGTTGGTTTTACCTGTGAGCTGGTCCAGTTTATCTTGAGACACAAAAAACTACATGCTGGAAGACCAGAAAGGGCTAGAAGATTCCCAAATCATTTCAGAGTGTTCAAACCTTGGTTTGCTGCATGTTTTCCTTTTATTTTCATACAGGAAAGGAAAGGAAGTCTTGTTTCAGTGCATGGTTTGCTCACCCCAGGATGACAGCCAGGAGGCAGCAGCAAGGACCTGGTTTTGCAACTGGTTTTCTTAAGATTTGAAGGTTTTATTTTCCTGACAATTTTTGGAGTCGGATGAGTATAAAAATGGTGAATTGTTTGCAGAAAGCATCAGAACATTTTCAGTTGCATGAAATCTGATGGTTCCCTACCATCTTGGGGATTGTTTTGAAATAAAACTGTTGTTAGTGGAGTATTTGCCTAAATTCTTCTTCACACATTGGCTTTGCTTCATGCCCAATTTCATCTTTTCATTCAAACAAGTGCAGCATAAAAAATTCAAACTCCAAGTATCTTTCAAAGAAATCAAGCTATTCATATGCACAAAAATTGAAGAAAACATTTCAATAAAATTCACTCTAATTCATGATCAAAGGCAAGCTGATTTTGTGCTTCTCTTTTCAGAGTTTTTCTATCATCTGTGCATATTCCAGCAAGACCTTTTTTTTTTTACTTTTTGATCTCCTTTTGATCCCAAAAGATCAGACTGTATGTGGTTGTTCTCCCCTGCTGTTTTCTAAAACTTGAAGTTGAGGGGAAAAAACTGTTATAATATTTTTGGAGTACTTGTTCCTAATTTTTGACAAAAAGGAGAACCAATTAAATTAATTAGCATTGGTCTAATGGAAAAGGAGACTTGATTTAGGGACGTTCCAACATCAGGAAATTCTTGATGCACCAATCATGTTGGCATCTCAGGGTGTAACTGTATAAACTCTGCCCATGAAAAAAACAACAGTAGAAAAAAAAAAAGAATTCCTCATCAACAGCTACCCCTCCGCTCCCCCACCCTTTTGATTGTGTATAACTCACCATTGATTTCTACCCCTAGTTTCTTCCAAGTCGGGGCGAACCCCTTGCAGAACCCACACCAAGAGCTGTAGAACTCCACCACCCACGCAGCCTTGCTTCCAAACACCCACTTTTCAAAATTCGTGCTGTCCATCAGCTGCACTTTATCCGATGCCGAATACAGACCATCCACTCTACCAATCATCATCAACAATCCAACAACAACTACCATTACACACACTCTCACTGGCGCACAGGGAAAAGGCATTGTACGCGCAGCAGCCATGCTGGCCATGGGATAAAAAGGGAACAAAATAAAAAAAATTGGACCTGCGAAATAAGAAAAAAAAAGCAACAGAAAATAATTACAATCCCGTTCATATCCTGAATATAATGCAACTTAAAAATTTCTAAAATATGTTACCAATTCCAGTCAGAGGAAGCAGAAAGAAATGCATATTGCAATAAACTGCAGAGGTGTGAACCTGGTGTGAACAAGCAAGATAACCCCAAAAGAACTTGAAACTCAACAGGAACACATTCATAACAATAATAATGACATTTTATATTCAAATTAAGTTGGGAAACAGGGGGGGGGGGTGGGGTTGCTGAGGGACTGACATCCACTGGTGGGTGGTGGCACTCAGTTCTATTAATGAATGAACAGAACACTTTATTTTCCGCTTTTCAGCAGTCACAAGGTTCAATCAAGATTTCCACAACCAAACCCCCTTCCCACCCAACACAAATCCATTCAATGAAATTTAATCATTTCAGAGCAGGAAACTGAGCACAAATTGATAACAAAAATGAAAGAAAATACAATCCATGAAATCCAACTGGACATCTGACATGTATATGCATACACCCATTCATTCCCTGACATCGGAAACAACATATGTGTAAAAATTAATTTAAAGCACAAGGTCTCCATCTTGTTTCTGTATGAGTGTTAGTTGAATTAACAAATAATTAGAGATAATCTTTGATGAGAAATCATATATGGACAACAGTTTATCCTGATCCTTTAAGATTTCAGGAAGGGTCTCTTCATTGAATTCCAATACTGTACTTGTAAGTCTTTCTTGAGCTTGCTTCTATCAGTATGAAATGCTGGACTCAGTTCTACAGACTTAAATCTGATATGAGGATTCGTCTTTCATGCAAGAGAAAAAAATTCCTCCAGAGGTTGTCTGTGTTCTGCCATCAGAGGTCTGTTGTGAGGGATGGACTGTAAACCACTTCATTATCAGCATATTATTCAACTGAAAAATTCAATAAAGATGTTCACCCAGTCAAGCCAGAAATCAAGAAGAAATTCAGAATTTACTCAACAGGAACACAGTCATAACAATAATAATGACATTTTATATTCAAATTAAGTTGGGAAACAGGGGGGGGGGGGTTGCTGAGAGACTGACATCCACTGGTGGGTGGTGGCACTCAGTTCTATTAATGAATGAACAGAACACTTTATTTTCCACTTTTCAGTGTTCACAAGGTTCAATCAAGATTTCCACAACCAACCCCCTTCCCACCCAACCCAAATCCATTCAATGAAATTTAATCATTTCAGAGCAGGAAACCGAGCACAAATTGATAACAAAAATGAAAGAAAATACGATTCATGAAATCCAACTGGACATCTGACATGTATATGCATACACCCATTCATTCCCTGACATCGGAAACAACATATGTGTAAAAATTAATTTAAAGCACAAGGTCTTCAGCTTGTTTCTGTATGAGGGTTAGTTGAATTAACAAATAATTAGAGATAATCTTTGATGAGAAATCATATATGGCCAACAGTTTATCCTGATCCTTTAAGATTTCAGAAAGGGTCTCTTCATTGAATTCCAATGCATGTAAGTCTTTCTTAAGCTTGTTTCTATCAGTATGAAATGCTGGACTCAGTTCTACAGACTTAAATCTGATATGAGGATTTGTCTTTTATGCAAGAGAAAAAAATTCCTCCAGAGGTTGTCTGTGTTTTGCCATCAGAGGTCTGTTGTGAGGGATGGACTGTAAACCACTTCATTATCAGCATATTATTCAACTGAAAAATTCAATAAAGATGTTCACCCAGTCAAGCCAGAAATCAAGAAGAAATTCAGAATTTTAATAAATTGCAGAGGGTCGAGTTTGTGTAACCGTTGGCAAAGTTTAAATAAAATGTGTCCTCTGATGAAGACAAAATATGCCACACACAAAAATCCGCGTATGACTCTGTCAACAATTTCCAAAAATAAGTCACTAACTAAATCCAGAAAAGAAAAAGGAAAAAACAGAACTGTTATAAATATCCCACAGAAGGTCGTCGCTCAGAATGTGTCACAATTTCAGCTCAAGGATTTCCGCTTCGCGCTGAATAAGTCGGGGAAAACAAAATAGATACTGTAATTGAATTTGTGCCAATTGGAGGCACGGAATAATAAAAGGGGAAATGTGGTTTTTTTTTTTAGCATATTAACCACGAAGAAGGAAGAATATAGCAATGTAAGTGGGCAGATGGTGGCAGGTGGGCGATCAGGAGTTCCGTGGGAGAAACCAAGTCGGTTTTCCGCGAGATAATCTTTCGCTCCTTTGGCGGGAGGATTGCGTTTCCGACGACGACGACGACGTCGGTGACGACGTTGTTAAATGATCGACATGTCGGGGGAAACTGAACTTTGATAAGGTTCCCGAATATATGAGGTATTATCAATATATCCAGTTGTGGGTTTTTTCTCTCACCTAGATTTTCATTTTTTTTGCTGGTCATGCATTATTTTGCGGTTCACAGAATGATGTTGGATTTCAGTCGAGGAACAGGTATAAAATTTTCAGACTTTGTTCTGCAACAATTTTTATCCCTTCTTCAAAATGCATGGGTGAGAACTTCGTCTGCCAAAAAAAGGAGTGTGAAGTTTTCAATTGTTTCAAAACAAAAATTTACATATTTGCACTATTGCGTGACATGAAAAAATGATGGTGTCTGATTCCAAAATGGATTCCAAAAATAAAAAAAAGTATTTGCTGAGATACTTTTATGCGTTACCCAATTAGATTCATTCCAGCATTCATGAACTAGGTGTTTTCTGGTCATTTTTGAACCAGAAGATTGTGTACCTGCTGTAAGGGTCAAATTGTGAAACAGTCAAATTGCTACACAATATCAAATTCTAAGTTTTCTACATAAAATTTGACATTTTGAGCTTATCTGCAGGTCAAATTGCAGGGCATCAATATTGAAGATATGTGAAAGAAAATTCGAAAAGAGGAAAGAATCCAGCTCATTTTTGGAACAGTTCACATGCTGGACACTTTTTGCATGATTTGTGCATTTCATAATTCATGCCAAAATTGCCAACTTATTTCAAAAGAAAGAGAAGAAATGTTCAACACAATCTATTGACTTGAATGGCCCCATTATAATTCAATGTATTGTTTTCTGAAATTTAAATGATAAAATTCAGCTTCTAACAACCCAGGAAACCAAATGCCCACATTTTTGTGTGCCAGTTAAGGATATGCTAGGAATGCATCCAACTTTGCATCCACATTATGTTCCTTTGGTATACATGTACAGAAACAGGGAACATCCTATGTGATCATGGACCCAGAGGATGGGAAAATGACACAAAAAGGCGGATGTGTCATCATTGCAAAGCAGTAGAACATATCAAAGAAATATGTGGCTATGACATGTGCCATTTGCATCCTGAAGGAACATGTACACAAGGTCAAAAATGGGATGCATCAAGCAAGTGTCCTGAAAGGATGCATGTGATGCATTGCAAGAGGATGCATCAAGTCCATATATCCAAAATGAACATTTGTGTTGGTGTTAGCTAGATTCTGCATTACATATATGAATTTGTAGTTGTATCCAGACATTCCAAAATCACAATTGAAGCAACAATGAGGATGGACTAGCTGAAATGTAATGATATATGCTGTTTGTAGATATAATGCATATTGGGTAAAAGTATTCAGCATGCTTCATTATATGTACATTTCATTATCACAAATGGCAAAAAATGCTGCTTTCATGTATGCTTTCATGTTTGTGCTTTGTTTCCTGCTTTGAAGTGATTGAATGTCTTTGGGGGGAGTTGGGTTGGGTGGGGAGGGGGTTTGGATGCGTGAGTCTTGGTAGTTCCTGTCGCGAATATTTCAATGGATACATTAAATTTGATACGCTAGCTTTAGAGAACCCAAATTCCCCGACAAATTTAGTCTTTCATTTAGTATCTGTGTGGGAATCTCAGAAGACCTTGGTTCCCACAGATGGTCAGCAGCCTCCAGGGCTGTAATTTATTACAGATGTCCTTCCACAGCCTTCAAGGCTGTATTTTGTTACTAATTTCCGTTTGCCATTTTTCGTTCTTGGAGGACAGTTTTCCTGTTTTCCAAGTTCATCTTTTTCGAGTCAGTTCGAATCACCGAGTCGAGCGTGAACGTTCTTCAAGATTTTCGCAAGATTCTTTGTGTGCCGATATATACCAACTTTAAAATAGGGTGTTTTGCACCCCGGTTGTAGCCCGACCAAAGTCTTGTGTTTTATTTCAAACTCCTTTTATAAAACTTTCAACTTTAAACTCTAATCTTTATCTTGTCGGGATTTATTCCCAACAATTTAAAATAGGGTGTTTTGCACCCCGGTTGTAGCCCGACCGAAGTCTTGTGTTTTATTTCAAACTCCTTTTATAAAACTTTCAACTTTAAACTCTAATCTTTATCTTGTCAGGATTTATTCCCAACAAAATTGGTAGCAGAGCGTGGTTTCACGTCTCTTCTTAACAAACCTTATCAGAAAATTTTCTATCAAAATTTTAACCTAATTTCTTCCTTGCAAGTCTAAATTTCTAAACTACTAAAAAAGGCATACTCATTCCTTTCTAATTCAAACGAACCAAGTGTGAATTTTTCCCAAGTGTGCGTGAATTCCTCTTAATCATCAGTGTATATTCAAACTTCCCGAGTGTATGTGAATTCCTCCTAATTTCCTAGTGTACATTTCAATCTCCCATTGTACATCGAAATAACCCAATCATTCTTGGAGGAAAAGTGTATATTCTTTAAATTCTGTAGACAACCTTTCCCCTTGTGTGTACATTCAAAGCCCTTCACATTTAAAGTAATGTCAATCAAATCAAAACGTTTCTTGATACCTATATCTAGAAGAGAAGTTCAAAACCTTTTTTTGCTAAAATTATCAAGAGAACTCCAACTTACCTCTCCTTCAAAATTTTAAGAGGATTCAAATAAACCAGTCTAAAAACATCATCTTTAAAATGGCACGAGGGAGACCAAGAGGGTCCAGAACCCCCAGAAATTCTACTGTTAGAAGTATTTCAAGACCTCA